TAGAGATAACAGAGATAATAGAGATAATAGAGATAATAGAGATAACAGAGATAATAGAGATTTTAGAGATAATAGAGATAATAGAGATAACAGAGATAATAGAGATAACAGAGATAATAGAGATAATAGAGATTAAAGAGATAATAGAGATAATAGAGATTAAAGAGATAATAGAGATTAAAGAGATAATAGAGATAATAGAGATAATAGAGATTATAGAAATAAGTGGGATAACAGAGATAGAAGAGATAAATACGATAGAAATGATAATCAAGAAAGAAGAGATTATAATGAAAATAGAGATAAAAGGAATAGATAAGAGAATTAAGATTATTAAGATAATTTTAGAGGAAATAGAGATAACTATCGGGATAATAAAGTATAAAGAGATGACTAACCTTAAAGAGATAATGGAGATTAAAAAGAAGGACAAAATAATGATACTGAAGATCAAAAAAAAGGAAATAACAGAGATAGGAAGCCTCATGTATATAATTATAAATATTTTAGAATGAACTTAAAGATTTTGCAATTCCTCATCTCCATAATAAATAAAAGAAGGAGTCTAAAAAGCAATAAATTAAATCTTAAAATCCATTCGATGCATTAAAATAGTGATATATGTTATAGATAATTAAAAGTAATTTTTTTATTCAAACTTTGTTTTTTTATTCAGATAGAATTTTTAGATTTTTTGATAAATTATATGGATTAATATTTTCATTGAAAAATTATTGATGTTATCTTAAATCTCTTCAAAAATTGATTTTTCCTATCTATCAGATATTACAAACCTAAAGCTAATAATATTTTTGCTTTGTTAACCTTTAGAGTGATTGCCATTAATTAGTCTAAGTTTTCATTAACCTTTTTTTGAAAAATTTTATCTTAATCTACTTAACATTTTATTACCAAATAATAGAGCTATTGATCTCCTTAAGAATTATCTCACACCACTTCATTTTCAGATAAAACTTTATTTAAAAAATTGTAAAAATTACTTATTTTATTATTAGGTCATTTGCAAGCCTAGAACAGAAGAATCAAATTAAATTTATGCTAAAAAATTTTCGAAAATTTTATTTTCTCTTATATCTAAGGTTGAAATCTAATTTTCCAGTTTATTTAATTTAATGAGTTCAAATTATGTTTAGATTATTTATCTGAAGTTTTTTACTAAATAATCCCTGTTGGTTTTTTGGATTAGCACCTCATTAATTTTGAGGTGAAAAATAATTATCAGAATAAACGAAACTAAGAAAAGAATAATGATAATATTTATGTGTCCCCTTTACAAGATCTAAATTTAAAACCTTTTATAAAGAATAATTACTCATTTCAAATATTTATTCCTTTCCCTTTTCTGAAAATTTTTTTAGTTGGTGAACTATCTTTAAATTTGATGGTATTGTTTATAGAGAATTTTAGAATTTAAATCTCATATGTATTAACTTTAATTATAATGAAGCATATTCGAACCAGAACTATCGCAAAAAAGTTCAGAAAGACTTTGGTAATTCCCCCTTAAAATTCTACACAAGAAACTAACTCAGCATCAAAATTTAAACAGAAATTCACAACCATTTAAACATCCATCATAATTTCCTTGATATCAAGGGCATTCTCCTGAAAGTATTGATGACCCAGATAAATTTTAAAAAAATAAAACTGCAGTTAAGAATTTAAAAACATATATTGAGGAATTTAAATACTTTAGTTAATCTAAAAGTTTAGACCTTTAAAAGTAATGGTTTAAGTACAGAAATTAATTGAT